CCATAGATTTCCACTGCTCTCCTCTCCTCGGCAAAAAGTTTATCTCTCACCGCAGGCTAACAAGTCCGTCCGGCAGGGAGATGAATAGTTGTCTGTCACATCTATTCGTCTCCGTCCCCTGCCTTTTATCCCCAGAGCTAGAATGGGGCCTCGCTAGCAGTGGTGGCTTTTCTGTCCCGAGGACCGGCCCATAGATTTCCACTGCTCTCCTCTCCTCTGCCTTCTGCACATCCACACGTCAGGCACTGGACTCAGCTTTTCCTCCTCTTCCCCATCAGCCACTCCAAACCTGGGGGCTGTTGCCTCTCCATCAAAGGGCTGACGGACGGCCCAGGCTCCGCCTCTCTCCCTCCCTCCCTCCCTCCCTCCCCTCCCTCCCTCTCTGACCTCTCCATTCCCTCTTCCCCCTTGGAGCTCTCAGCTGTTGAAGGGGCCAGAGGCCGACAGGCCGCAACCAGAACATTCTCAGAACTTCCCCCCCCAAATCTTACTTCGATGAATTGGTTATATTTATATCACGTTTAACTGTATTTTACACCGTTTTCTCTACTCTCAGGTATGAACAGAATAGAACGGGGTGCGTCCTCATCAACAGCCTGTGTCTGTCGAACGGAGGTGAGCGATTTATGGGGGAAATCTCCCGCAAATCACCATTGCAAAATTACTTGGAGCAGTCTTTTGGGTGGGGGGATTGGAGGGGGGGGACACACAGATGAATCCACCCTAGGGGACGTCGTTCAAGTTAGAGGACAGCATGCCATCATCACCCAAGTCCCCACTCCCATTTACAGGTACAGGGGTCCTCGACTTATGGCTGCTTGCTTAGTGACCGTCCAAAGTTGCAATGGCACTGAAAAAAAAGTGACTCAGTGCCGTTTTTCACACTTAACAACCGTTGCAGCATTCCCCCATGGTCATGCGATCAAAATTCAGACGTGTTCTGACCCAAACTCTTTTTTCCAATAAGACAAACACGAACCAAAGGGAACAGGAAACCTTTTAATGTGTCTTACGAATCCCCGATTAAAAGGCTGCTGCAGACTAATTAACTTTGATAAGCACAAGCCTCGCCAAAACTGTGCAAGGCTGCCAAGAATCACGGATAAGAAATATTTTACAACACAAGAGTCTTCAAATACCAACTTAAGCTACTGTAATGTCCACGAGGCTGAGTTTCAAAACGTCTTTGCTTCCTGCAAAGAACGTCCGATTCACCGCTGGCTTTTATCTCCTTGAAGGAGGGGCCATTACCTTGCAGCCTTACTCCCGAGTCGCCTGTGCTGCTGCAGCTGCTCTTTCCTGCAAGCAGCCCTGCGCGCATGCGCACTTGACACAGGCTCCTCGGGACCCTCCTCATCGCTGCTGCCAGCCCCCGCAATCTCCGAAGGCAGCAGTCCACTCCCTCATGGTCCTGGCTCCTCATCTGACCACCTCGCTCTCCTCAGCCCTCCGCAGCTGCTGCCGGCTAACCACAACAAGACTCTTGGCAACCAACTCTCATTTGTGAAGGTTGTAGTGTCCTGGGGGGGGGGGGGGGGGTCATGCGATCCCCTTTAGCGACTTTCTAGCAAGCAAAGTCAACAGGGAAAGCCAGATCCATTTAGCAACCACGCAGGGATTCGATTAAGAAATGGGACAAAAGAAGTTGTGAAAAGGAACAAAACTCACTTGAGAAATTTCTCACTGAACCACAATCAACGTTGGGCTCATAAGTTGAGGACTCCCTGTACTTTGAGCAGGGGGTTGGACTAGAAAACCTCCAGGTTCCCTTCCGGCCCTCCAGTATTTGAGGGACTGCCACAGAGAAGAGAAGGGGGGGGGGGTCGAATTTTTCTCCAAAGCACCAGAAGGCCGAACAGGAAACAACGGA